TAACTGGTTCAGGTGGCATAGTTAAACCGGGTAGTGTTTCTTTATAAATTTGTATATGAGAAGGTGACTTTAAAAATTATTTTTTTACATTGTTAATCAATTTTTTTTACATTAGGGAACAATTCTCTAACTTTTTCTGCCACTCTGTTTAACATATGTGTTACACATGTTACAAGATCGATATTTGGGTAAAAGAACTTTAATGAATCTTCTGTTTTTACCATGTGGTTCTGCATCAGATAAAAACAACCGTAGATTTTCATCGTTTCCCCCTGCAGGTCATAATATTTTTAAGTTGTCGTTAATCAACCGAGATACTGCAGAGTAACTGATTTTAGGCAGTTCTTTACATGCTAAAAAATAGGATTAACTTGGTGTATCATGTTTTAAAACGCCAACTATTAAATTTGCTATGTAGCTGCCGTTTGTATCACTTATTTCGCCGACAGCAATCCAAATATCCGACTTGCCAATAACTTCTCAGATAGCAATAACAACAATATCATAACATAGACCAAGATAATTTTTCCTTAATGTTCTCTCGTCAGGAATAGGCTTAGCTGTATTCTTTTCCAAAAAATTTTTGAATTCGGGAATTTGAAGTTTATTTCAAGGTAAATTAGATACTACCAAAGCTGCACAAAGATCCTCATTGAAAACGTTACTAGATTTCGGTTTTGTATCTAATACGAATAATTGTTTTTTGTTTTAATATCCTCTACGTTTTAGAGCACACAATTTTTTTGTCACACAATTGACAAAACACTACAGAGCCGTCCGCGGTAAAAATGGTTTGGTCTGTTTTATTATAAAGAGCAATCCATGTTTTTATCAAAGTTAGAATAGTGTTTCGACTTTTCGGCATTTTATAATTTATAAATTGTAATGAAATGTAAATTTTAATTTTTAAATTTACGGAACGCGGATCACGAAATACATATGAGCTCTAGTGCACTATTGACTGGCGATTATGTCCGAAAACGGTAACGCGACAACACGACGCGGCGTGTTTACAAAATACAAGTCTAATAATAAAACCAGTTACGATTGTTGCGATAAACCAGATATAATTTTAACAGAAATTGTCCAAAAATATAATATACGGAGAATAACATTCATTTCCCAACAATACGTAATGAACTGATAATTTCTACGATGAAATTCAAACAAAATAATTGGCTTAATAAACTTTTATACAAAATATGCTTGAATATGCAAAAATTTTCAAATATACAGTCATCTCTAAAATATGCATTTATATGCAAAATAAACTTTTTTCTATGCATTATCTGTTGCACAAATCGTCCACATTTCTTACTCCCATCGAAATGCATACACTCATTACAAATATGTAAATGCATACAAATCCTGACTTTAATTATAAGATTCAGTTTGAATAAAGAAAAATATTTTATTCATACCCGAGTTCTCGCATGACCAACATTCACGGTACATGAACGTTTCTGTTGCTCCCACGGAATGTTTTTATTTTTTTTCCTAATCTTAACGGGGTTTTTCGAGAATATATTACTTTCGATACATTTTTCTGGACTGCTCTTGAATTGCATCTCTTAAGCCGTATTCCATTATTTTCCCGAAGAATATTAATATTAATAAAATGTATATAATATAAAAAAAATCGTAACTGTACACAGGGGCATCATTTCAACTTTTGAAAGGGTGGGGAAACTGATTAAATTTGCCGACTTCATAGTATTTAAATATTTCATATTTATGGACCATAGACTATCAATAAAATATTTTTTTTTGGAACAAAACTTGTAAATATTAGTTATGAATAATGATGTCATGATGATAAACAAAGAACATGAAACGTTTCAATTTACCCGATTAAATAATAACATTAAAGATAGTAAAACATTCATTTATTTACCTATCCTATAGGCTATAAGTTACCTATTAATAGGTTTAATGGAATAGTAATATAAATCTAATTAAATAAATACTTTACAGAACTTATTTATAAAAACATAAAATTGTATTTCAAATATAATGTACTGTAATCTGGGGTGAATAGGAACGAGTTTAACGGTTTTTTTTATAAATTATGAGCTCAATTTTTATAGTATCGATATCACAAAAACTGTTTTATAAAGGTCACATATATAGAGAAATATAAAATACCAAAAATAAAGTTTAGAAGGTTCGTGTAATAACGATTGTAATAAACCGGGGAGAAGCCAGTGTTTCCCAACTTTTAATAAACCGTGAACGTGTATTTAAAAGAGAATATTATCTGATTTCTGACCATAAAATAGTAAATAAAAATTTATTATTTACTGATTTTAGCATTTGATCATTGGACAAAGAATTGCCGATTTGATACAATTTCTTAGAATAGGGCATTCACCTTAGTCTGCCCCCCCCCAAATGACGCCCCTGATTGTACACTATCTAACTTAATCTAACAGTCTTTAAGACACCGTCACACACGGTAACCTGGGGATCTAGGTAAATTAAACTTATTTTGTTAGGTAATAATACTCTCAAATCAAAATGAGCCGTACCATTTAATCAACAAAAAAGTTATCAACACTGTAGCCACATACCTTTTTACCAAAAATAATCAAACATCGTTATTTGAAATTAATAAGTGGTTTTTATCTTCCTCTCCAGTAATATCTACCTCTAACAACCAACACTTAAAGAAATCTATATTTTATTTCTTTAAACCACACTCAGCTCTTGCCTTGGATGAACCAGAATTAGCCACAGTCTCTTATACAAACAATGATGATCAAAACGATTTCAAAATGCAGTCAGGGGTTACAGTTCTCTACCACACATACTCGAAGGTAAAAAGATCTGCCACCTCCCAATAATTATTAAAGACGTAATAAACTTTTCTGAATTAAGGGAAATATTTACAGACATTGTTAACACTGACAGTTTTAGCTGGAAGTCAACTATACTCGACTTAAGCTTCAACTTGATACACCCGATAACTACAGAAAAATAACACATTTTCTTAATGAAAATGAAGCCGTGCTAGTATGTGCTCTCTAACAACTACTCGTAGATATTCAGCCGACTAACGCCATTAAAATATTCTTGCATTTAAACTTAAACGTTTTATTGCCAATCACAGAACTGACTCCATTGACAATAGGTTTGTTTGTATTGTCAAAAAGTGTACACTTTTTCACAACAAGTGTACACTTTTTCCAGTGGCGGCCTGTGCACACATTACTTGGTCGGCTAAATAAAAAAGGGGCCCTCCATTTAGGTACAATTAGAAACACATAACATATTTTTAATACATTTATTATAAAAATTGCCTTCTTGGCTATACTAACAAGTTAAATAATTAAAATACATTTATGAAATTTTAACACTTGAAAATTAATTAATAATTAATAATAAACAAATTATGAAAATAGATGATTAATATACAAGCAATTTTTTTAATTCTGTCGATGAATAACTTATTATTTCTTCTAAATCAGGAACTTTATCACTTTCAATGCTAATAAGTAATAGAGATTCTAATAGTCCTTGACTTATTGATGATCTTAATCTTATTTTGATTATTTTTAATTTGGAAAATGATTTTTCACAATGTACACATGTAATCTTTCACAATTTCAGGCATGCAAGAGTTAATATAATTTTATATGCCATGTATAAATTAGTAAACGCAGCTGTATGGAAGTTATACTTGTATAATAATTTCATGACGCATGGTATACATTTACTACAAGTTGAATTTTTATATTCATTTGGTTTCGGTGAATATTTAGGAACATCGGTCATTGTTTGATTTTTATATAAATTGTCATCTTCATCAGTCACTTCAGATTCTTCTGAATCGTCAAATTTGATTTCACCTTCATGTGATTTTGATACCATATCATATGAGGCTGAAAAATGAATTAATTCTTCTTTAATTAAATCTGGTTGTAGTCCAATAATTTCACAAAAATTGTTGAAAACTTTTTCATTATTTCCATCAAATGTCAAAATGTTATTTTTTATATCCATAAATCTGTTGGGATCAAAAAAATGTCGCCAGAGTCGCTTGGTAAATGACGCACGTGACTGAGTGTCACAAACACATCGTTTCGATAAGCGATGATAACGATTAATAGTAATGAAAAGAAAAATAATTTTTATAATATATAGGTATTGACATTATATAGTATTATCATTGATTATAACTATTCTATAATCAATGGTATTATTTATAACAGAAATAAATCGCGTGACTGCGTGAGCCAAGAGTAATAACTAGTGTCTAATAATATAATATTATTGTGGTCGTGTGATCGTCCCAATCGATTTTACTGAGAAATACTATTTTTAATTTCAAATCAAGGAACTACGTTCACTGTCTGTACAAACTACAAATAGTACAATGTACATTATTATAAGTTCATTAATCAATTCAATATAATTTTAAGATAACAGAAAATAATAATTGACATGTTGTACATGGTACGGGTTATTATGTTATATAAAAATAGTTTTATTCTCTAAATTGGCCATTCCTCAAAAAAAATTACGGCTCTTTTCAAAGAGCCTTATTATAAGGGGGCCCAGTCGGCGATCGCTGTCTCGTCAACCTGACCAGGCCGCCACTGACTTTTTTACAACAAGTGTACCTACACCAAAGCGTTTGTTTTGAAAAGTGTAGTCTTACACGCTGTTTTAAAAAAGTGTAACAATAGTGTACACTTTTTTCACACTGACCCAAATGTGTAGGCACAGCGTTTATAATGTAGCGTTGATCGTTATCAAATTAAGCCTTATCAGCTAATAGTTTAATCTGCAATTTCAAATAAATGTCGAAACACGACTCACCAAATATTTAATACTAAATACCGACTATTATAATCGTTTATAGTATTTGGACTCACTGCGGTTGAGCTATAAAAATAATAAAATATATATAACGTATCATACTTTTATGTTATATTATTATATTTATTTATATATATTTAATTATAAATAATAGATAAAAATCATTTAAACAACCATCATCGTCGTCATCGTTTACATATACAGCTGCTGGGATTTTGATAGGATTCCACAACTCTAACAATATTTCGTCATCGGAAGAGTTACAAAACTCCATCACGTTCAAATTTTGTATTTCTATTTCTTTTAATATTACAATTGTTAATTATTAATATTAAATATTATACAAAAAGTTTACTTAACTATTGTTCAATTCTACTTTCAATTCACCCAGACACTACACTAATTAGTGTACACTTTTTTTCCTAAACGAACAAACCTAATGATACCCTTTGGAAAGCTACTAATAAACATTTTCGTGTCTACAATCCTCCACGTACCTTATGCGACAGCAATGGTAGTTGGGCTACATCAAAAAAAGACTAAGCAAATAATTTCGCAAAAAATCTGGAAAACACCTTTCATTCACTCTATAAATCTTCAAATAGAATTAAACACGTAGAACATTTCCTCGACACTCTTTTACCAATGTTTCTTTCTTCTCGAGCCTTCTTTCCTGGCGGCATATAAGCATACCATACATTCCTAGAGACCCATAACCAAATCGCGAGCTCTGATTGGTTGTATTTAACTGATGATAACAATTTAAATTTGGAGCACTGATAAGTGATAATTGATATACCAATTTAACATTTTTAAAATGTTTAACGATCTGTCGAATTTGAATTTTGAAAACATGATTTTCCCAGCATCATTTGAGTATGAAATTATCAAAACTCGAAAATCTAACTATTATTTTTCGGTCTTGTGTGTGGATGTTTGTTTTTTCAGATACTTTAGATTCAGGTGCTTTTCTTATTTTTTTTTCTTCGTATCACTATAAAAATTGATAAATTTAATATCATTTTGATAAAATATTTTAATATTTGTGATTATCTATAACATAAGGTTATAGAAATGGCTCCTCTACCCTTGAAAAAATGTATGACTAATTCATTGTGCAGTCATTAAACACAATTTAATTATTTTTTTAAAAATCGATATAACATATTTGTCCTTTTACCATTTCGCGGCTGGTACTAGTACAATACCACGTTTTTTATTGAGTGAGTTCGACTTCATCATCAACCGCAACACATTAAATTTATCTTCGCGTTTTTCTACGCATGTCTAAACAATAAAGGACTATGGTTAAATGCGAATAACATTCATCATCAGTACAATTGAAAAAAATTACTAGATAACTGATACATGTTTGCTGATATGCGCAGAAACCTTAATATGTTATATATACATCTTGTTTTGTGAGTAATGAGTGTAATTTTATATCTTACTATCAACAACCATAATAACGCACTGGCGACTAATGGATGGGCACAAAACTTACGTTAAGAAATAAAAAACTATTGATAATTACAAAGTACACGTCTCTCCATGATTCATCTTTGTAAGGGTACTCGTTCGGGAAATGTTTTTTAGTGTGGTGTTCCCACAGTTCATTGGTGTGTTGCATCAGATAAATATTATTTTTTTCAATTCTGTGCAACTGCTCGGGAGTAGCGAATTTCAGGGCTGGTTCCAGATAGTCGAATGGGATCCCTTGAGTAGATTTTAAATCTAAAAAAATTAACATAAAATAATATTACAATAATATCAATATACTGGTGACATCAAACTAGAGTTAAAATCATGTATATATCACCATAAATCGAGAAAATAATATGTACCGTCTAAGTTCTTCTTTAGGGAATTTATGCAAGTATCTTTGAGACTTGGAACTTCTGGATTCATAGCCCTTTTACTCCCAGCGTACACCTTCGTCCTTTTAAATATTATTTAAGGTGAAAACAAATCTACGAATATATAATTATTCTAAGTAAAACCTCTTATATTTTCTCGACAGCATTTCATTCAATGGATCAATCTCCTCGACGAGCTTTCTTTTACTTTTTAATGATGATCCGCTTTCGTTCAGTTGTTTTGTGGAACTTCCTGCTGCAGCTGAGTCCATGGTTTTCAATTTGTTTTATAAATTATTATCAAAATTGAAGAAAAAAGTGATTTTTCAAAAATCAAGTTATTCAACAATATTATCGCAAATATATTAAGATATAATCTTCACTTATACGGTTATTACTTAATATTCAGTAAGCTCATATACGAATACACTTGGTCACTTGAATGTAGCTAATACAAATTCTCATATAAGAATGAAATATCAAGCTCGTTACTATTAGAAGTAAACATTTCATAGATCATCATCAACCATGGAAACGGAATATTTAAATTTATATTTTATGTCAACTACTTTTGAAGTGAAATATTTTATATTATCTTAATTATTTGGAAAACTGTTGAGAATTATAAAAAAAATTACTTAAATGTACCTTAATGATAACATCTTATAGACAGACAAAAAAAAATCATGATGTTAAATTTTGTACATTTCTCGCTTCGCTCAGAATCTATAATGTTTATACTCAATGACGTGCCTGGAAATTAAATTGTATTGGCCACAGATGTGCCAATACAATTTAAACGCCTTCAATTTCCAATTAGATTGCCATTTGCAATGACTATCAAAAAGTCTCAAGGCCAAACGATGTCCGTCTGTGGCTTAGATTTGAGTACATCATATTTTTCACACGAACGTGTGAAAACGTGGTGTGCTCTCGAACCATCTAGTTTGTGTTTGCGAAAGATGAGATAACAAAATATGTTGTACACTCTGTTGCATTTAGGGATAGATATTGTTTTTTACTAATATTGTCATAATTAGCGATATATATAATTTTAATGGATTAATTTTAATAAATTATTAAAAAAAATAAATGTTTGATGTTTTTTCATTTTTTTTATTTCGTCACTCTTCACAGCACTCCATACCTCTTCCTTACATCCTTATCCTTATCCACATCTTTACATGCCTATATTAAATTAGTTATTTTTTTCTAGCAAAATAGCAAAATATTCTTTAGAAATAACTTATATGACAAAACAACCTTTGTCGGGTCAGCTAGTGCTATTTAATAATAAAAAAAATGTAATTTAATTAATAAGATGTATAAAAATATGATTCTTAGGTATGTATGACAATCAGTGCTGTCCTAACTGCCAATAAAGTATTAGGGCGAAAATTTTTGATGCCCTCCATTTTTGAATATTATTAAGGGTTTAGATTTTATAGCATTTGTTAATTGTTACAGGATACAGATAAAAATATCAAAGTAAGATATACATTTGTTTTATGCACTAAGGACTCCAAAAATGAAATTGTATTTTAATATTTTTTGCATATTTAAAGTATTTTAGATTTTTAGTATAATTTTCGAAGTTTGGTGCTATTATTTACTGATACTCATAGTTACATAATGCTTTATTTAGAATTCACCATAAATATTATTAATATTGATTGTAAAATAGTATTAATATATGTGTTTATTGATCAGGTCGATAATTTGATTGATAATACGTTGTTGAGGAACACGCGGCACAGTGCAATACATAAGTCTTAAATGTAAAATTCATTCTTTCTGCACTAAAATAGTAATAATAATCGTATTTACTCATAATATATTAATATAATATATATATAACTAAAAAATGTGCTTATTGTTTACAAAAAAATAAAAAAAATATTAAATATTACATATTGATTGGAGATTAGAAAAAATTACATTTTTATTATAGTCTAATGATTAGATTAAAAATAAATAAAAACTATTGTATTAGCATTAAAGATAATACTACTTAAACAAATTTATTAAATTAAAAATTATGAATTTTTCTTGATCTCATTTACACTATTGCTAGTTATTTCCGTTGAAAATGCTGCCGTATTGTATACTTTTTTATAGCTCTATATTCAAAATATATTTATTTTAGGTTATACAGGATATACAAGTGTAATTCTTTTTTACCTCATTAGCTATTCTGTGTAACATGTTAGCGGTAGCTTGTCCAGTTTGTTCAACCATTTTGAACAAAAATCCGTCTTTATTTTTCAACAAATTATGTGGATGGTCGAATTCGACCATTGCTCCTGCGTCCATGACAAGAATTTTATCGGAATCCATGACAGTATTCAAACGATGTGCGATTGTTAGAATGGTACATGCTCTGAATTTATTTCTAATAGTATTCTGAATTAATTCATCGGTACTAGATAAATAATACAATACATATATTGTTCCAGTAAGTATAATATATACAATATGTATAATAACCAATAAAAATCGTATTTAGTCATTACTGTGAATCAATATTAGCAGTAGCTTCATCTAACATAAGAAATTTATTGTTTTGAATTATAGCCCTAGCCAAGCACACTAGTTGTCTTTGGCCAACACTGAAATTAGAACCACCTTCAAACATTTTTGAGTCTAACCCATCGTTCAAACTTTCTATAGTTTTTTTAAGTTCTACCTAAAATATAATACTTATAATTTTATAGAAAATACAAAAAACTTACTTATCAAATAAATTAAACTAATATAATATTACTTCATCTAAAGCATTCCAAAGAACATGGTCAGGGTATTTATTGAAAGGATCTAGGTTCGTTCGAATTGTCCCTGAAAATAATACTGGATTTTGGGGAATAATTGAAAGTTTCGACCTAAGATCATGCAGTCCCAATTCATGTATCTCGATGCCATCGATGATGATATTACCCTCATTAATAGCTAATCTAAATAATGCTTCAATCAGAGATGACTTTCCAGCACCGGTTCTACCAACGACTCCAACCTAAATGTGCAAACCGTAACTGTTATAACAATCATTAGGTATATGAAAATATTTATTCAGAGTTACCTTTTCCATAGGTTGAATTTTCATACTGATATTTTTCAAAACATATGGAGAATCTTCATTATAACGTAAATAAACATTTTGAAATACAACAAGTCCTTTGTCTGGCCATTCTTTTGGTGGTTTTTTTTTCTTAAAAATAAAAGGTTTATTCACTACATATAGATGGTAACATCTTATGGTACACATTTTTCATTTTATCAGTTTGCATTAAACAATATAAATTATTTAATTTTTTTTTATAAATTCATGGAAAATATATTTATTTTAATACCTGGGGATGATTCAAGTGCAGCTTCTTTCGGAGCATTAGTGTACTCAAGAATTCTTTCGACTGAGGTCATTTGATTTTCTAAATCTCCAAATTGTTTGACTCCCCATTGCAATAAACCGGTTATATTCATTGTTTGAGTAATAATGAGCCCAAAATTCCCACCATATGTTTCTGAAATGAAATGCGAAGAATTAAAAAAATCGAACAATCTTATATTTATTTTTAATTTTACCGTTGTAGAGAGTTAAAATTCCAAGTACTAAAACACTTATGTAAGTGAAACAAATTATATCCAATATAAAGCCAAACGCTGCATTTGAAAAAATAAATAAATGCAAAGCCGAAGAATGTAAATCCTAGACATTATTAAAAATGTATAGAAATTATATTTATTTATAAAATAATGAATTATACATACTTGATGGCTATCAAATTCTTTGGATAAAATATCTTCAGCTTTAAATGCTCTAATTGTTGTTAGGCCTTGGAAAGATGCATTTAAATGTGCAAAGACAAAACTCCGTGCTATATTTATTTAAAACAAAATTTCAATGTGTGGTATAAAATTTAAAAAGTCCAATTAGTAAATAAACAATCCATGTATTCACAATAATATTACTTACTAACTCCTTCTAAACGTTTAATAGAACGACAGGGAGGTAGATAAAAAACTATCGTTTTGTAACAGATAAATCCTGCGATGAACGTGGGAATCAAAAGGTAAAAGTTTACTATTCCAATAATAAATATCGTTCCAATTATCGTCATTGAAGTCTAAATTGAAAATTACAAGAAATTATTTGGTTTAGCATATGCGTTTACAAACAGTATGCCAATGCTATATCATTATTATATTATTACATGTATACAAAACAAAATAGGAAGAGGTAATATTTCATCAATAGCTCCCATATCTTTAGTGAAGCGGTTAAGTATTCGGCCTGATAAAAAAATAATAGATAATACATAAATCGCAAACGAGGTAGTATTATTGCATTTTACCCGATGAGTTGGAATGGAAGAATTGCATTTTGGCTCTAGTTATTGCGTTGAACATTGTGTTGTGTAAATTTTTAGAAATTCCCATAAAAACCGATACGATTGAAATATTTCTAATAAAACAAATTAGTATCATTGCAAAGTTTAGGGTCACATAAACTGTGACACACGTTTCTCGAGAAATCGACCACGACGGTAATATAACAGTTGATTCTCCATTTATTATTGAACTGTTAGTAGAAATACTTTTTATTTTATTGAATGGACGCTCTTCTTGATTGACCCTATTTTAAAATATTTTCATGCAAATTATTAAAACTTTTTCAACGGCAAATATTATATTAAATACCAAAAACTTATCCAATAATCTCCTCCACTGCAGATAATATATGTGAAAAGAGTAGCAAAAACTGTAATCATTAATTGACATATATTTTCACCCGCAAAAATATATGAAAAATAAACACTCTTTGAAACGTTCCCAGTTGAACAAATTTCAGCCTCTTCGATGGGTTCTATTTGAGTTTCTTTAATTTTGCTCTCATTAACGGATGAAGAAACGCTTTGAATTGAATCTTGTCGAAATAAAATGGTAGGATTATCTGAGCTATTTTTATTCTTGTCTTTGACAATGCAAAATCCATTATCAGATTCAATTGATGCTACCTCTGATGATACAAGTAATTGATTGATGTCTGCGGACTGAAGTTCATGATAATTTCCATCTGATACTATGCTTGCCTGATTAAAACAAATAAGTTAAATACAGTGTATATTTGAATAGTGTCAGTTATTATTATAAGAATTGATACATACATTGTCCATTAAAACAATACGATCTACGTTTGACAAGTATTGCTTTTGATGAGTAATTAGAACACAAGTTTTTTCTTTGAGGTAATCTATAAATAGAGATTATACATTTGTTGAAAATTTGTAAATTACGATATATTTCATCCTTTACCTTTAATACATTTCTGAAACAAATGATTTCCTACGTGTGTGTCTACAGCTGATAGTGGGTCGTCCAGCAAATAAATGTCCGCCTGTTTATATATAGCTCTGAAATTGAATATTTTAATCACGTAAATTATTTTTAAAAATTTTATTGTTAATTTACCTTGCTAAATTTATTCTCGCTCTTTGTCCTCCGCTAAGAGAGACACCTCTTTCTCCCACTATTGTTTTGTCACCATATGGAAATAGTTTGAGATCCGTTTTTAAAGCACATACGTGTATAACCTAATACGTATTTATTATGTAAATTCAAACCATTACTCTGGCAACAAATATTAAAGATTTTTAATTTTGCAGTTCGTACTTGTTCGTAGCGTTCCGCATTCATTGGTGAATCAAATATAATATTTTGTTGAACAGATCCATTAAATAACCATGGTTCTTGAGATGCGTAAGACACTTCACCGCATACTGATATTTTTCCTTCTGAAAGTTCCAATTCTCGTAAAATTGCTTGTATTAATGAACTCTGAAATATAAATTTACTATTTAATTAAAAGTTAAAAGTTTTGTTATGAAATTTGTGTATACTTTTCCAGCTCCTACGGCTCCGATTATAGCAACCAACTGACCCGGTTTAACAGTTAAATTAATATTATTTAAAGTGTTATCTGGTTGACTATGAATCCATTTGGCAGAAGCATTTGTTATGTCTATACTAAAATTATCCAATTGATCGATTTGGTTCTTATCATCAGTGTTATCTATAAAATCTAATTCTAGAGTTTCTGAGCTGTTTATATTATCCGTGTTTCCTGTTTTTATTGATAATGTTTCGGGTTGTTTTTCATTGTTTAATAAAAAACTCCTTAAAATAAAAAATTAATTGGTATTTTTAGAACTATAAGCAATTATTTTAGTTAATTAATTTATTTAACGATTTTTTATTAATAATAATATTAATATACCTGAATACGATTAATAGACACTATTACTTCAGCTACTAATACAATAGCTTGAGGAAAAAATACTGTCATTGTTGTCAATAGTATATTGTAGTATGCAACTAAAATAAAAACCTATAAATAAGGAAAAATAAATATTATTTATACCCATAGAAAATAATCTTAAGTTCTTGTATCCGCTGAGGGCTTACTTTTTGTGATGTAATATAGTTTCCTAATAATACATAGGATAAAATACTTGAGAAAATTGCAATTCTAGTATGAAATATTATGAAAGATTGAATAGTAGCTTTGATATGCGTGGCACTTTTAATTTGATCAATTTCTAATCTAAATGGTTATACATTTTGTTTAAGAATTAATAATTATTTAACATCAATTGTTGGTGCTAACCTACATACTTTCTAGATTGTTGCACTAAATATGCAAACGGTTTTTCCCAAGTATACATTTTAATCACTTGAATGCCTGAGATAATCTCATTCATTAGCTTAACTCTATCATCAGTTCTTGGAGCTATTTTTAATCGAAATTCAGAAATTTTCTTTCCCAGCCATCCTGAAAGTAGAGTATTTATTGATATTATCCATAAAAATAAGAGATAATTATTTAATTAAAATATTTTTTTAACCTTGTAATGGAATAAACATAATCAGTACCGCAATTCCAAATAATGTCGATACGCCAATTTGTTGCCACAAAAAATATGTTGCCACAATAGTTCCTAGGGGACCGATCCACAAAAAATGCATATATGCAATCACTATATCGAATCGATTTACATCATTTGATAACAAATTCACTATTTTACCAATATTGGTTTCACCAATCGATGTATTACTTAAACGTAATGCCTATGTAATAAATATTATGTTTAATATTGTTATAATAATATTAGATAATATTATTATGTTTTATTATGTTTAATTAGTTATTCACATAGATATACAAGAGGTATAGAACTCGGCTATTACATTTTAACTATTCTAGAAAAAATAATTTTGAAAAAGTATATGAATACTCCCAAATTATTTGAATACAATTACAATTACTTTTTTTTAATAACTTTTATAATTTAGCCTCATTGGTATACATGAATATAAATAAACGTTAAGTAACATAATTAGAGTTACGATTTACAAATTAGGCCGATGATCTACTGTTATAAGTTAGTTATATAATTTAGTATCATTAAATAAACAAATAAGTGGGTAAAATTATTTTTTATATTTATACAAGTGAGAATATTAATTTTTTTTTTTAGAAAAAAAAAGTGACTGTAATTAGAAAATAATCATTGTTTTTTTAATATGTCTAAAATAATTATAACAATACAGACTTTAACAAAAAAATTTAAATGTTGTATTACATTTGAATAACATTGATTTTTTAAAGTTTTAATCGCTCATTTTTTCTTTCATTTTTAATTAGTATTCAGGCCCCTGTACTAAATACTCTTTCAATGGATGCACTTATAGGAAGGGAAGTGCACAGAAGTAACAAAATTATTTTTATTTGTAATTAAATAGTTATGAAAAATCGTTAATAAAACGTATTTAATAGTATGTTTTTTAATAAAAGTATTCAAATGTTGTTAAAATACTTATAAAAAGTTGTACTTGAAATACCATAAAACACTTCAAAAATTATTTTAATACAAGTACCTACTAAAATAGTTAACAATATTGATGATAACGCAATGATATAATATTATCATAAACAGTGTTGCAGTGAAAGGCCTAATTTTATAATTATACGTGTACCCTAAATGAAAATCGTGGTATGCAGGTACACGGACCATGAACAAGATGTATTAATATTACTTCCGTATAAGGAAGTCTAATGGGGAACAAATAAAATTTGTAGTATAGAGGAACTCGTTAAATAGAATTACATATTGATTCACAATGATGATCATGGTTCTCCACAATTATTCATTAAACAGAAAATGTTGTTATACAAAAGTTCATTGTATGGAAGTTTCACTGTACTACCTTAATCGTGACTTGTACTAAGACTGTTTGTACACAGATCTATTTTTAAACCATTTGGTAACGTTCACAATATTGTGCATATATTTTTTTACAATGATTCAGTGGTGTACCCATAAACTTGTTTAGGTCCACATCATTGATCAGAAGGACTGTGTCTTGATAACACAATATACCTTACACCAGGGGTCGGCAACTTTTTGAACCACGCAAGCCTTATTTTTTTTTCAAATGTTTATCAAGTGCCACATTAAAAAAAAAAAATTACATATGATATATACTAATAATTGTATTGCTATTATATTTAATTATTTTACATAGAAATATGAGTGCAAAAAATACGAATATTACATAAAAAAATTGCTTTTAAGAATAAATTTAATTTTTTGACAAATTAAACATAACGGCTTACCTTTGTTTTCGACAAAAAAGTATAAATTAACCCAAGAATTATTAAAAAAATGATGTTCATCACCAATTTTTTCTTTTTTTAGTCGCCATAATGTTTGGATTACTTGTAAAATGAAACTATTGCAAACGTAAACAGTCACACGTATGGACGTAATCACGGTGTAATACTAATTGCTACAAACGCAAAGTAACTATGACCATAGGTTAAATATATTAGATACATATGTATTAAATACATAGATTAAATATATTTAAAATTTTAATTTTTAAATATATTTATATATATATATATATAAGTACATTAAATTTATCCTATGACTGAGTAATGCAGCCATCATTATCTTCGACTCCAGTTAGATAATAATAACAATTTTATTTATAAAGAAAAAAGAATTGAATAGTATTGAAAATTGTATGAAAAATTTTATTGAACAAAAATAAAACAAAAAAATTAACCACCTTTGTGCGAGCCATAAAAAATGGCTTCGAGGGCCACATGCGCCCGCGCATAAGCGGAAATTTGGTGAAATTTGTGGGGGGGGGGGCTGAGCATTATTTGCTTATTATACTTATAGATACCACTGTGTGCAATTATTTATTTCAACAAGGAAATTTACGAAGTTTGACAATTTGACATTTTTAATCAACAGTTTAATCAAAAAACCAATTAGGTGCCTTATCTTAAACATTTTTGGAGTAGGTATTCTAAACAGAAATTATTAATTAATTACATTGAACAACCTATAAAGGTATTATTACATATTATTAATATTATATTAATTGCGATCGTTCCAAGTCATGACAAGAAGTTTGTAAAATCTTACAAATTTGATTTAATTTTTATCACAGAATATTTTTTTTTAATTCAGTTATTAAAAATGCATTTTACAATTATAATAATTATTGTATTTTTAGTCACTTAACAATTTTTAGGGCTAGGGGGATTAAGACCTGTAATTTATTAAACAAAAATAAAACACAAAAATTAACCACCTTTGTGCGGGCCATAAAAAATTGCTTCATGGGTTACATGCGGCCCGCGGGCCGTGGGTTGCCGACCCCTGCCCTACACAATTTTTGTTTGTAAAGTATTCTTTTTATTCTTATATATTTCTTGAAATAAATTTAGAATCTAAAAACTTAAGTAAATAATGTATTGTTATTATTTCTCAATTTATGCAATAATGCCTTAAAATATGAAGTTAAATATTTTTAAATATTAAACATGGGATACATTATACCTTTGATTAATATTTTTTCTATAATGATTATCAAACTGTTGTTTTTGATAAATAAAATATGATATATAAAATATTTCTTTATTAAAGATTTAAGATATTTCATGTTCTTAAAATGTTGATACCCAGATTGCTGACACCTATTTTTAAATAACTAATTTAAAACCAAGTAAAAAAAGAGGTAGAAAAAAATAAAAAAAACTTAGGTACATTAAGTAGACTGAGTCAAAATTTACTTCAAACGAAGTACATATTTCACTACATCAATTTATGAAATTAGATGTTGTTTTATTATTAAGAATAATGAAAAATATTTATTATTTAAAAGTCTATTCCTGTAGTATTCATGCAGTAAAATATATTAAACAAACTAAATCACAATTTTCATTTGTGAAGTCACATTTGTCTTTAAAGCAAGGGTGTATTTGAATTGAGGTAATGGGGGGAGGGGGAACTAATTTTTCCTAAATACAAACTTAAAAATAATTTACAGTTATATTTTTTAAATAAATCAATGTATTACATTAAAAAAAATACGAGCTATGGGGGGGGGGGGAATGCCCCCTTCGTCACTCTTCAAATACGCCCTTGCTTAAAAGTTACTTTTTATAATACGTTCACATTAATAATCCTATCAACAATAAATGTTGTAATCTAATTAAAACATTTTTATGCCCCTCTAAACTTTAATCGTAATTATATTCGTACAATAAATATTCCTATACATTTTTATAATAACATAATAACATTTGTTCGAATCAGGAGTTTTAAAATAGCTTTTTCTTTATCACAAACTAGTAATTTTGTAAAATTTAACTTTTGAATATCTACAGATAAACATAGATACAACACATGTTTGTTATGTAATGCATCATATACTAACTACTACTTATGAATTATAAAATGCTTGTTATGTTAATTGTATTGATCAATTATTAAACTATATATATATATATCATAAAGCAACATACTTTTTTAAATATTACTGAACAGCAAGCCACTCTCATTTGCATACCACAGTATATTAATTCATTTAGTGACAAATGAAAAAGGAAAATGTTTATTAATATGGTTAACAATAGTCCAGATGCGTAAAAATATGCATGTCCTTTGTTGTTTGTATTGGATTCATTAGAATTGAAGTATGATATAAGTCCGCCAATGAGTATAGGTTGAGACATTCTATATAATTATACACACATCCATGTAGTATGGAAATTATTTTCATATAAATAATGATGAACTTTCAACTAGATATTTATCATAAAAGATACATTTTTTTATCGGTTAATTCTTTGATGATAATGCTGACAAAAATAATAGTAACGTTTCACAAATGAATTAACTAAATAATATAATTGAAATCATATAAAGATTTTTCCTTGATAATTTATCCAGAAAAACTTTATATTTTCTCAGTTTTTCGGAATAATATTGAAATATATTAAGCATATATTTCCATACATTATGCCTAATTATGTGAATCAAAGTATAATCGGTAGGAAAAAATCTTTTAAGAAACAATAATTTCATCATTATTACCATTATTACAATTTTAACTATCTTTATTAAATTCAATTTTAATTATCAACCATACCATCAGCACGATCATTACCTCACGCGAACTTGGTTTGGAAAAAAAACTGTATCCAGCTCAAAAAAAAAAAAACACACACACTTGCACACTCACATATATATATATATATATATTTATATATGTTGAAATTGTAAGTTAAAATCTACTTAGTCAATTTATAATAAAAAAAATGTAATTTTTTTATAAATTAAAATAATTTATTTACCTTAATATGACTTCAATGAATATTTGTATTAATCCATAATAAAATATTTTAGCACCAAACATTTTAATCAAAACTCTTATCAAACTAGGATCTCGATTTTTATTTTTAGCCTCGGTTACCTCAAATTTCCATTTCCTTTAATCAAAAAAATTATAAATAATGAAAAAAAGTTATAATAATATAAATGTAATTATTTTAATTTGTTTACTTTTCTAATTCATCTCCTAATAATGATGATTTGTAATCATCAAGTGCTGTATAGAGATCATTTACTTCTAAAGCCTTTTTCCGTCCCGTTTTGAAAATGCCTAAAGTCCAGCTGTGTTAAGTAATTGATATTAGCTTAAATATAGTTCAAATAAATTGGTGTCGTTATACTTATTTATTTTACCTAAATGTGAGGATTTTAAATATATTAGCACCAGCTCGTGGATTTGGAGGTCTTTCTTCTTTAACACCAGCATCCATTTTGTATCTAAAACAATTTAAATATAAAACTATTGATTGTGAGCACTAAATGTGAGTGAATTTCTAATTATTCAAATACGTCGCATCAACTCTTAAATTTTTTTTTATGATTTTCAGTTAAATTTAATTGTTACCTAATGTCATAATTATTTATATGTTTTTTAATCAATAAGGTAAAAAGGTTAATGGATATAAATAGCTAATAGTTACATTATGAATGGTATTTAAACTAATTTTCTTTTTCATATGATAACTCATGGTAAAAAAAATATAAACTAATTTAAAAATTAGTCTTATTAGAGAGAAACTATTTAAGGTGTAGAGTATTAAAGCTAAATACGGAATTTTTGTTGAATTTTTTTTGTTTATATGATTTATGCCTGTGTAAGCACAATGTTAGGTAATACATCTATACATTATAAATACTTGTCAAACTTTAAATAAACTGAGAAAAATTAACAAATTATTCTACTAGATGATAATTGGAATGTAATTGATTTTGTAATTTCTGATTCATTCTTTAATGAATCGGTATGTTGAAAGAAATGTGAAAATTTTCTTTAAATACCAAAGCGGAATCATTCTTACTGACAACTGCTATATTTAAGTGAAATGTAATAAAAAATATACAAATGACTATTTATCATTTTAATATATCAGATAATTATCATAGGATATCAAGGATTATCAAGGATTATCAAGGAAATCAATTTTCAAGTCATGAGTTATTAATTGTTCATCCATAATTATAGTCTAATAGAATATATTAATCTATTTTTTATTTTTTTATTAATTAATATCAATATTTATATAAAAATGTATACATATATTATATCAAAATAATTTAATAAATATAAATTATATTATAATGAATTACTTACCTTGTGCCTACCTAATGTATACTAATTAAATATAAAAATATATGAAAAAATAAGAAAATGCGTAGTTGGGAGTGTTAAGATTTGTATGTTGTACGATCGGCGGTATAGTTGTATGTTATTTGATAAAATCAAATTATTTATAGCAATTATAAAACATTAATACATATAATTACTATCCCAGCACATATATAATATTTAAATTTATTTAAATTCGGCAAAAGTTTTAAATATTTTAAATTATAATACACGTATGGAAATATTCTTTAGTATTTGTATGAATGTATTGAATATTTAGATTAAAAACAAACTCAGAGTTCAGTCCTGTGTTATCAAAATACTGATTAAGATTATTACATTGGTATTATCTTTGTTTAATTATCTGATGTAAGGTTCATAGTGTTATATGATATACTCGTTTGATTTACTTTTTTAGATAATTAAAAATAAATTTACATAATTTTTTATAACAGTATAGCGTTAATTATCAAAGTCCCTATTTTTTTTTATATTCTGAAGAAAACAAGAAATGTTTTGGTTTTATCACAATTGGTTTTTTATTTTGACGTTTTTTTTCTTTCAACAATATTTTTTGCAGAAAGATTGCTTCTATCATTGACTGACGGAAACATTTTCGAATCAAAGGTTTTTAAAAAAAACTTATCGTATGGACGCAATATTTAATAAGTACTTGAAAATTGAATACAAAATTTTTCTCAAGTCTGTTTAATTAAAAATCTTATACATTTTAGAATATTAAAATTTAATAAAATCGGATATTTCAAAAAAAAAAAAAATGTTATTTTTTTGTTCAACAATATTAATTGAAAATAATTGAAAAATAAACTGGACACTTATATTGGTATTATATAAATATATTTAACTGATATTATTAAATTAATTTATTTTTAATCCAATGGTTATAATCAGGGTTCGGGACTTAAAGCATTTGCATACTTTTGTTATTTATTGAAAAATATAGAAGATTGCGAAATAAATTCATTTCTCAATACCGTGATACTAAATCTAAAATTTGAATGTGCATAATTTTGTATATTTCATAGATTATGCAGGAAAGTACTTATTTTTACGTTTTTGTGCTTGTGTTGCAATCGATGAGCATTTACATTTGAAAACTTACGGAAAAATGTTATTATTCAATGTAAAAACGAAGATAAGACACATAAATATAAAATTATTTATTTTTTGATGTAAATGGAAATTATAATTTTTAATTTTTCGTATTATTATATAATTGATGAATAAAATTAAAAATCTGGAAATGTACCTATTTCAAGAATCAAGTTAACAATTTTATGTTTTTTATTATATTTTTTATGTTATACTTATAATTAATAATAAATTAACTGCATATTTTTAAAAAATGTTTGCATATTTTAGTTCTTATTATTGTGTTTTTAACTACTATAAGTCTCGAATTCTAGTAATAATATATTATTTATATATATGCAATTTTTTTTTTTTGTAAAAGCTGTTACAACTAACTCGATTACAAAATTATTACGTATATTAGACACGTATACATATGTAGCAATGTAAACTAATTTTAGTCATAAATGCTGATAGACTCGTCTTATTTAACTCAGAAATTTTTTTTACACTAATAGTACAAAGATTTCAAATGTATAAAAATTTAACTAAATTTACATCACCCAATCTAAGTATCATGTCATCCTATCATAATTATAAATATTTCAAACGGAAAATAAATTTAACATTGAGTTAATGGTTAACATTAATAGTTATTAAATTATATTTTTTTTAGTAATATATTTAAGTTTAATATATAACGAAGTTACTCAGTATTAAAAAATGTATTTATGATATTTAAAAAAGAAAAAAATCGATGACGAAATTACGATAAAACTCGATCAATAAAAAGAGTACTTGCTTAACAATATTTGATTTATCGGGAATATTATGAGGATTGTTTTAAATTCTATAAGGTGCATTCGCGAGATCATTTTTTGAATTTATCAGTAGCTTTATAAATAATTGAAAAAAATTGACGAAGAATCACAAAAAACAGCATAATGTACATTTTATTAGTTTTCGATATAATCAATTATTTCTTTGTTTATAATGATAGAGAACTGTATCTTTCACCATTTTCTATATTTTGTATGAATTTTCAAATAATTTAACCTTATTATGCTATTTTTAGATATTTGACATGGTTTTTTTTTTTTGGCTATCTTTCCGTGAATTATCAAATTATTGACAAAAAAATATTAAAAATGAAATACAACTTTTCCCATAGAATTTTTCTTACTTGTGTCGAATATTACCGAATATCTGTAAATAAAACTTTTTTTTCAAATATTTATAATATAATGTTAAAACGTGGATAGATCTCTAAAAAATTACTAAAATCTGTATAATTTTTGTAGTTAAAAATTTGCAATAATAAGACCTTAAGTTTATAAATTTATTACAAAATGTTTCACAAGTTACTTATTGTAGCCAATAAAAATAAATTATCGTAAATATCACAATTCATATCAGCGTTAAGCCGGTCCCACACTACTTGCTAAATGATCACAAGCGTAGACACGAGTGACTATTCCGATTGATTGCACCATTTGCAAAATAACCTCACTCATTACTCGAAATTAAAGCCAAATTCAAGTTCTATGAGTATTCACAAATCTTAGCAATACCGAGTCACGTTAGGCATGATTTAATATTTTTGTAAATTAACATTTATAAGTTTTCTTCGAAAAATAAGCTGATATTTTTTTTATTGCTAGATTTTTTATATAAAATTCGATTGCTCTAAAGAGCAACATCAATCATCCAAGAAATCAATACCATTTTTTTTTCGAATTCCTATATAATAGCAAGCTTTATTTCTATCCATCTGATTCGTTCCACCCATATACATGTTATATTTTTAAATTAATTTTGGTCTGGATATCATTATGTTACGTTCATCATGTTGGTTATATCGTTTTACTTGTCCCATTTGTTGTGCCCCACATGAAGATGAATTTATGATGACTACAAAGTTATCTATCCACCTTAAATATAAGAGTTGTTCGTACTTTAGCGTCACGTGAAATAAATTTGCAGCGTACCACAAGTGCAAAGCGTTTTTAAAAACATCGATAACAAATTATGAGTATTATGGAGATAATTGAAACTTACGACCATGATTCTATTAGCGATGGAAAACATGCCTTGCCCTACTGATATCTAATTGACCATGAATGGACCATGATAAATATGTTATTTATTACATTTGGATTAAAATTTAACATGGTTATTATATTTTATCGGCAAATATTATCGGTATGAATTTACAATCGACTTGTTTTATTACTTGACATTTCCGGGCCTAACGTATAACGAAAAATCGTATTCCGAGTTCACATCGACCCCGGAAATCTAATGTACGAAAACAATTTATGTGGTCCTACAAAAAAAAAAAAATTAAAATATAAGCGGTTTTGAGTTTAATGAGGTGTAATGATAATAAAAATAATATTAAATTTAAAGGCAAGACAAAATGATAAGTGAGAAGTATAATCTAATCTCTTGGTTTTTCAACATTTTATTTTAATTACTTTTTAATTAAACTATCAAATGGACGTATGTATACGGACTTTTCTAAAGTCTTTAACAATATTGATCATAGCATACTCACCAAAAAATTTTTCCAATCAAGTCTCCACGATCTACTCTAGTAAGGAATGAATAAAAGCAAAATACAATGAACGTAGACAATTAGGGGATGAAAAGAGCTTAGTTTTACGTTTAATAAAACTTAAAACCTTAAGAGCACAACTCGTTATAATATTGATGTGATAGCTTAAAGAGAAAGCGGATAAAAAATAAATACCAAGATCTTTAATAATAGAGACCCGTTGTAACTGAGAGTTATTAAGAACGTAGGGAAAGAGTAAAGGGTTTCTAGATCTAGAGAAAAAGATAACACTACACTTATTAATATTAAGATAAATACCTAAGTTGGAATTCCATACATTAAATTGAATATATTCATCTAATAAAATTAGACAGTTAGAATGGGTTTCAATTTCATAGAATATTTTTATGTCATCACCCTAGAGAAGGAGATGAGCTTTTTGAGGTAATTGATATTAGAATT